GAATCCAAGCAGGTTTGCGTCCCATGCAGATTCCTGGCTCCCGTAAACGTCTTTTGAGCTGTCTGTGGACCCCACGACACCCAATCCGTAAAGTATCAAGTGGCACTTGCCTGCTCAATGAAATTGCAGAGCATAAGTATCACTTCGGCTTCCTCCTGTACAACCATACACCAGAAATCTTCACATGTTGAGGGGAGAGGAGCCTGAAAGGTGAAGGCTTTCCAATCAGCGGAAGGCTGTTGTGACGTACGCTCGATTTCCAGTAGATGCGGTAGGCGTGGCTGCGTGCTCCAACCAAACGTCGCGGTAAATGTGCTTTTGATAAGATATTTTCGATTTGACACAATTGTGGTCATTTCATTCAACGCAGAACAAAATGATAATGTCTCGAACTAAAATATCCCACGAGTGGCTTATTCTATGCCACATTCAAGTGCCACGCCTACGCCGTCTCAGGGATAAGGAATGTACCTGAGTGCAGATGAATCGTTTTGGGTTGTCCGGGGTTGAAACATAGTTCGCATGGATATATGAACATGAACCAATTGTGAGTACAACACGATTGTTGTCGAGACAACCCACATCCTGAATGAAAGCATTTAAGGTGGATGTCCCCGCGACGCGGACGTGGCGCTCTGAGCCCGTTTATTTTAGGCACTTCACCTTGTAACGATTTTTTCCAGATGCAGTCTGTGCCACAAATTCTGTCATCTTTGAAAAGTCATTCACTCTTTTCAATTGTCGGAAATCTGATACTAGGCCTTGAGGTCCCTTGTTGAGCGTTTTTACAACGAAATTTCTAACCTGAAAGTGTTAACTGAGACATATTTCCGGGAAGCTTCCCACCGGGTGCAAGCAATCGCAGTCACCATCGAATGCAGAGAGCGCAACGGTTGGGTGCGGGCGGTTGGTGGCAACGTCATTGGTGGGAGGCCCATTTGTCTCTGTCTTCCACAAATAGCGCCGGCAGCAACCGTCCCTTCAGCTATCGTGCTCGCTATCTTCAAGGATTCACTTCATGTCCTATTCACAGTGGATGCTGGGGCGTGTCAGAAGGTTGAGTGACGTAGTACCGAGCCTTCCAAGAACTGTTGTCGCCTGCCTCCTACAACATTCGATGGAAAACGGGCTGGCGCTGCACTAGCTTCCTGGCACGAGCGCATCCGCAGCGAACAAGACTGTAGCGGAGTGCGCCTCTCTATTGCCTCCCTTGAGATTGCAATTTGCCTCCCTTGAGATTGCAAGCAGAAGGAGCGCACCAATGGAAGGCGTAATGTGTGCTTGGCTCCGCTCACATCAGCGTGAAAAGCGCCTCCAAACTTTTTCTTTGTAAAGTGCACAAGCATATCTCACTTGCTCTCTACGATTGGCCTTTTCTTGTTTGGTGTTCGCTTTCGGTAAGAATGACCAGGCTTCTGGCGCTCTGATTGACGATACAGTCTCGTACACCTTCGTCATAATCTCCTCTCTGAAATGTTCTAAGTGATGATGCTTCTTACCACTAGCTGAGCGAAGTCTTTGTTTGATTCCATCCAAAGGTTCAGCCTTGTTCGTTGCGGATGATGGGGCGTGCCAGGGAGGAAGAATTTGGTGTGCCGCCAGCCCGTTCTTTACCAATTGCTAAAGCGAGTAAACAACAACAGCTGGCGGAAAACGACTGATGCATGCGATATGATACAGTCTTGTCGCTTGCCGAAAGACAAAATAAGAAACGGGCTGGCGCCGTGCCAAGCCTATCCCCCTCACACGCCCCAACATCCGCAACGAATAATACTGTATGAATTACTGAAACCCACGGTTTCAGTTCCTCCTTTGCGGCTTCGGCTACTTCAGTCTCATTTGCTGTAATTGTAAAGAGTAGTTCACACAAGAAAAAACGATGAAGGATTCAAGCTTAGCGAATCTATAAACTGAACACCTACATTCCGCGCTTCTGGGTTTCCTTCTTCCGAAAAAAGAAAGCTGAAATACTGTTCGTTCAGTCCTTAGGCACTTCTACCATGTCAGGTGCTACTTGGCTGTCGATGAAACTTCTACGATTTGTCGCTGGTGGGCTGACGGATCAGGTGATATATAGCTCCTGGGAGTGGCGCGAATCTCACCGTTACACTCTTATCCCAGAGGTGGGGAAGGGGGCGTAGCTGCGTACTTCATCTAGACGTGGCAGCGGCTGCGCTTTTTGAGATCTTTTCTGAGACTTTTGCATTCATGTTTTATTGTTATTCCAGCACAGAAAAGGATGGTAGCTGTCCCGATGAAAATATCCCGAAAAGAACACATCCGAGGGCACTCTCGAACGAAGTACTCAGCCACGCCCTCTCTAGCTTCGGGATAGGAGTATATCTGCGTTGCAGGCTACTTAAACGAATACGTTTTATGCCCACGTTGCGCCTTTTCTATGAATACATTTGCCATTTAGCGGTCATGACATTATGCCATTATAGCGGTCATGAAAGTGATTCCTACATTCAAAGAGGGGGGGGGGAGGAAAAAAAATGATAAGCCACACAGTAAGAGCCCCTCTCCTTTCAACAGAGCACATGTAATCATGATCCTTTGATGTAATAAGGAAAAGAACGCAGCCAGGGTTTGGAGAGGACTGAATACGATCGATCGTATCCACATGGTCACGGAACTCATCGAGATAGACTACATATCCCAGAGATGGGAAGGACGTTGTGCACCTCATTTCGGCGTATCGGCTACTGCGCCTTAGGCGAGGTTTTGCCGTTTTGTAATCTTTCTCAAGTGATAGAATAGGAACTGTCTTGATAAGCGTAACCTATGAAAGGCCACATTCTACGTCATGCTTGGATGAAGTACGCAGCCGCGCCCTACTCATCTCCCCGATTGTGTGAGCACATGATGACGCAATGTCACACTTTCAACAAAGTATTATATATATTACTCCGGACTTCAATGGGAAAGAGGACGTCATCTCAGCTTTAGGCAACCGACGCGTCACCATTCTGGCTCCAGAGCAGAACGAGGGCGGTTCGAAGGACGAGGGGGTATTCGTCCTCCAAGCCGCCCTCGAAGAAGATGCAGAAAACAAAAGGAAGGAAGATTCGGGCTCGCTGACCTCCTCATAGATTCCGCGGTCTTGCCTAGTCTAAAGGTTGCCATGTGCGAGGCGAATGGGCCTGCAAGTGGGGTAGCGCGCCGCTCTCCCTCAAGAAATGCACTGGAACGGTGTTGTAGGGGAGTGGCACCCGAGGCTCCCCCCGAGCTATTTTCAAGGCCGATGCCAGGATCACACAGTGAAGCACACACTCAGAGGTAGAGCACAAGGTGAAAAGAGAGGGAGCAAACAAATAACGCTTTTGGCTATGTCCAAGCGTGTGGCTGGTCGAGCGGAAGCTCGGGCGAAATATGAAGACGAGACCCGAACATGAGTACGCACTCCAACCTTCGGGATAAAGGCCAGCTGTTGCGGACCCTTATTGCCACACACGCTAAGGACCACGATCCACGAAGCTGAGTTGTACCTTTGGTTTTTCAAGCTACGTATCACGGAAGCTGGATTCTGCTTAGGCAGGACGAGCGTGCCTTTGGCATCATTTCTGTGCCATTATCCAAAGCGTTGTGAAGAGGACGTACGTGAAGTCCCTTGATACTTGCCGTTGACAAGGGGTTGAAGTTCTTGGGCCCTGCCTGCCGCGTGTGCTGCCGTATTCAGCAAGGAGTAAAACAATAGATAGACGGGACATTTCGGGCGATTTGATGGGCCTCTCAACGAGAACATGGTTATGGTTAGTACACCTAAATTTTTGATGTAGCAGGGATTCTATGGGACGTCGAGCGAACACCAGAGACGATCGCCTAGTGTTCGCTTGATGGTCCCGTGGTCAGCTCTGCATGGAAGTGGTGCAAAGCCCCGTGTTCCTGAGACTAGGAGAATCACTGGACTACTGTAACTCGCAGCAAAGACCAGGGTCAAGCGTCACGTTGTGGATGGGGATGTCCATGCGATCCCCCTCCCCCTACGCGTCTACTTTTCACGCACGTTTCAGAACTCCCTGCCAGGTGCTAATAAAGACGTAACTGACGCTGCATCAGTCGATTAGCAATGGGACGACGGTATTTCTGAGCTCAGACTCCTTACTTGTGAGATGCCTTCTGACCATGAGATCTGACATGAAGACAGAGTCCCACCGATGGGGGTCAGCTCAGCCCTTTCCATTCCATTCTACAATCACTGTAAAGCGGTGCGGTCTTAGTCAGCTACATACTCTCTCGCCGTTTCGTCGGCTGCTTCTCTTACTCATGACCGGTATTCTTCGTCGTATGCTCACAAGATTCACATGATGCGCAAAACCTAACAGGGTCCTATTTAGAGCGTTTCTGACAGTCTTCTCTGCTATTGTCTCTTACAATCGAGACACCACCTTCACATCTGTATTTCACTTTTCTACCTACGGTCATCATCATCTCTAACCACATGTCTTTGAATCAGCGTGCCTTAGAATTCATTCTCACATTCATTTGGCTCGCAGGTGTCGGCTTAGTCAAGAAATTCCGGCTTGCAAGCATAAATTACCCGTAAGCATAAAGGACTACTTCAGCGACTCAGGAATCAAGGAATGATGTGAAGCGACCCACAAATCACCCTGTGATATGAGAAATGTTCTTTTTCAAATACTCTCTGGTGGTGCGGTTGTTCAGTTTCCACCTCCTTTTGAACGTGAGTGAGGTGATAAGGTAGAAAAGCCACCATGTCTTCGTCCCGGGCAAGCTCCGCTTGGGGGTCCTATCTTGGGTATTTCGAAAGATTCTACTTCTTCTTTTTTTCTCTCTGCACTTGATTCTCTTACTTTGCGCTATGCCTTCTTGAGTCCCACTAGGCACCGTGTTTGAGCGCTGGACGTGCCTTCTACGCCATGTGAGACGTCCCTGGGTATGTTCTAGTAGGTCGCCAGTTCACCAGTCGTTGCCGCTATTGCGCGTTAAGCCGTTGATAAAAATAGGCTGGTGCCATGCCAAAACATAGGTGGGGCGCCTCTACCCGATGATCGGACATCTGTACATGCACCCCTGTCCCACAAGGTCCCTGTTTCAGCCTTTGTTGACTCGGAATACTCAGCTGTTGGAGGTGTTTCGCTTTTTCTGCGATCTCGTCTCATAACGGTTGGATGTGAGCACTTCTTCACTTACCAATCTTCTTTTATTTGATTTATTTGAGCGTTCCACACGATCATCTCCAGTTTTTCGAGTTTTGCCTCTTGTAACAAAGCGCAGCATAGTTGCTGAAAACGTTCCAGTTCTTCCCCATAGAGCTCAATTTTGTGAAAGAGTACCTGAGTAATGTTCGGTAAGTGAATGTCTTCTTGAGAATCGACAAATGTCAGCAGTTGACGTCGAGTGATGTTCCAAACTAGCGACCGAGAATAAAATGGACGTATTGTTCGGAAAACGCTTATATATCCCCACACATTGCGCTACCATTTCGACCAAATGCAGTTGAGGATGATATGAGTCATTGAGAAAAAACATATCTCATGTTGATGTTCAAGAAAGCGGTCGTTAGTACTGTACTGTCCCTCGCACGATTCCTTATTACCTCGCCCCTTTCAGGTTTGCAGTCCTTTTACAAGGAGTCGTTGTAATCTTTTTCCCTCACCTGCCTTCTCACATCACCCCACAATTGAAGCGCCTCCACACTGTTGCTACCACTTGTGCTATGAACTTTGGTGGCTTCTTTTCAAAAGCAAAGGATACGATAACTCCTCTAGGCATGTACAGTCGTCAGGGCAGTTGATTAGACGTCGAAAGGGTCGCAGACGCGGCTGCAGCAGCGACCGCGTACGCAGGAACTGTTGGCGGCGATCAGCTGTTTCCGGCCTGGTTTAGTCATTTTCTCCTAACTTTTCACTGTTTTTGGCTGCTTTTCTCAATGTCGTGGCCAGGTGCGGACAAGATGTCAGCATCGGCGGGGTGCACCTGGGTCACGCCAGAACGCGGGGTTGTAAGGGACCGCACCCTCCTACAAGGGGAAGTCGCGCCGTTGAATGCTCCCACCTGGACCAAAAGACCTGCCACGTGCTGGATAGGGCCCAACCCTTGCTATGTGGCAGATAATTCAAACACATGAATTACCCCTAAGAGTACAATAAGACGACACTAATAGCACTAACTTTTCATGTAGAAAAATGGGTAAATGGAAAACATCCAACAAATCAATACAGTTAAGGAACAACGCATGTGGTTATAGAATAACAAGTCGGATCACCCGTTGCTGCCGGGTGCTCCTTCTTCTGTTTTACGGCCTGGCTTCGTCGGGCACTCTTCCCTTGAGCGAGGTAGATTGCGCTGAATGTGCCAAATAGTGGCAGTTATTTTTTTATCAAAACTTATTAATGTAAGGAAGAGTAGAAAGTAGTTAACATCAGTCATTATTTGTCAACATATGGTCCCTCTTGCTTACTTTCAACCGTGAGAAGGCTGCACCATATCATTAA